TTACAAATGATTACAATAGCACCAAATTTGAAATATTTTATTGGGAAAGGGTTTTTAAATAATAAATTATATCTATGCTCCTACCAAGAACATACAATAAAAATCGCATGATTTCAGCTTTCAAAGATTTATTCCAGAAAAAGATGTATTTTCTAGGAAGACCCAAATGAGTCAATTGTCATTTTCCTCCCAATATGACCATGAAACTTAACAATTTTCAGTTATAAAAGTCAGTTTCTGAGAAATCCAGCAAATGCTTTGTAATTTCAATAATAAAGCCTTTTTCGTGGTATACTTTGCATCAGGAAAATTATAGTCCTTTATATAGCCTTGTAATGCTATTGTCATTGTCTATCTCTTGTTAACCATATTTGTAATTAATATTAAATTATGTCATAGTTCAGTATAAAGCACACTGTCAGAACAATACTGGAACATTATGATGTAAATGCTTACAGGTAGGGTTAGCTATCTTTAAGTGGCATTTCCACCTCCTGGTATTGTTGTAATTTTCATAATATACATTGGCAATGCATAATAAAAGTTCTTCACCTTTAACCAAAATGGCTCCAATAATTACAAACATAATACTTCCTAATTTCACCATGCACATACCATGTAATGGGCAAATTATACTGCCTCAAGTTCTAAATAGTCCTCAGTGATTAAAGGATGCCACAGGAATAAAAATGTGGTCTGTAGAAATATACTGAGTAGTTTCACACTTAAAGTTTAATTTACAGGGTAGATATATGTACATGAATGTCAGAGAAAAAAATTCAGCACAATTTCCAGTTAGTATCTAACAGGTTCACAACTATAAGTCAAAGGCCTAAATTTGCATGTGTCTTTTTTTAATGAAATGTTAAATACTATGAATAAACTAAACATTAAACTCTAGATATGTATGCCAGTATGTTATATTTCTGAGTGAATAGAAAATAAAAGGTACTAGAATGATTATAGTTCAGTAAGCCAGGAGAAAATTCCATGTAGTATATTACTCTGCCCTCAAAACCAGCAAAAACACCTACTGGCATCTTATTTATCATACATTTCACTTCAAACCACTTGCCAGTTTTATTTAGAGACAGAAGCATTGTTGGATATATGCAAGTAGTGCATCCCATTCACATAGCAGCACAGCAATAGTATCAGCAGAAAGCAAGATCCTAATTTCACCAACTAGAAAACTCAGCAAAACTACCAAGCCAAAAGTGCTGCAAGCAGCAGGACCAAACAGAACATTGGTTTAAATGGACAAAGGGGAATGACGGTCATTCATGAAAAGATAACACTGGATATAACAGATGATGGCCAGTTATATGTGAATGCCATGATTAGACACTGCTCTCACATCAAATATTCAAATATGCAATAATGGAAGAGACAAAAATAATAGAAGAGGGAATAGGGGTAAGGAAATTCTCTTCATGCAATCACCATGCTTGATAGTTCTCCCTTTTGAGAAAAGAAAAGGAAATCACCTCTGGTTGGTATTAGACACTGATAAGTCTTGATTAACCTCTCTCAAAAAACCCCCAACAGCCTATCAGTCTCATATTTCATAAATAAGAACTATGAAGAAATACATATGTGTGTGTGTGTGTGTGTGTGTGTGTGTGTGTGTGTATGTGTGTTCATGCATACATTATATGTTTGAGGAAAGATAAAAGATGTGTAAAGCACAGAAGACTTATTTTTTCAAGGTCACTTTTGACTTAGAAAGTAAAAGGGGAAAAATGATTGAAAGAAATGGTCTAGGAGGAAGAAATCAGGTGACTTGTTTCTCCTGCCTATCTACTCTTCCCTAATCTCCATGGATAGCCTCACTTTTCTATTGCTCTGCCCCTCTTGAAAAACCAGAAGAGTAATAAGGAAGGAGGATTTTCTTGGGAAATTTCCTCCAATACCTGACACACTAAACTCACCAGTGAGCTAGGCTAGTGAGTCAGGCCAGCTCATCCTATGAACACCACTTAACAAGGACAGCTATCTCAAATTGGCTCAAAATGGAGATTTTTCCAGAAATGGCAAAAGGAGAGGCCAAAAATTCCATTTGCTGCAGCTGCTCTAGGACATCCATTTGGTTATCACATTTAACCTAACTCCAGTCTGCAACAAGGAGTGGCATTTTCAAACATGAATCACACCAAAATCTAAGTTTAGTCTTCATAGCACTCAACACCATCTTGATGCATTTGTTTGCCTTCCCTATTGTTAAGAACACAAGGACAAAATTTAATCTGTAAAGTATTAAATATTTACTAGAAAATGGCTAGAAGAAACTGAGAAATTATGGAGGTAGAAGAAACATATTACTCCCCAAAGATCTAGTAATTCTTCACCATCATTCCTTCTTTTCTTAGGCATAATCTAGACACAACAAATATTATGATGTGTCTGACATAGTTTCCTTTACAGCAGTATTTGGGAGGGGGAGAGTGTTCTTGGTCAGATTTTTAGCAAACAAAATCATCCTTCTATCTAGGATTTTTACTGAATGGCTGGGGAATTACATACAAATTTAAGAAGTGGAGAGAAAGAAATGAGAAGGAGGAAAAAATTCCTAGACTAGCTCCTTCCAAATGTCTATGCAAACAGTAGGAAGTCTGGGACCATAAATCCTAAAGCTCTTGGGTGCTGAAAGACAAGGCCTTGGTTCTAATGCACAAGCCTCTCTTGAGAGAAAGATATGGCAGTCTGCTTTAGTAAAAACTACAGCCTTGGAAACCCTGTGAAGCAGTTCTACTCTGCTCTGTGGGGTCACTATTGAGTCTCCTCTGATCCATATGACAAGAGGTTTTAGTTTGGTTAATGCAAGCACAACTCTTTGGCCCCTCAGCCCCTGCAGGAAGGAAAGAGGAATGAGGACTTGCTTTTCTGTTAAAGTCCAGTTACCTCTGTAGCAATTCCTGTTTTTCCCTAGAGCTTAATGTTACAGATAGAATGTCTAAAGAAGGTAATAATTGATGGTCTTCTTGTTTATGGGATATTGGGATAGAAGGGGAGAAGTTGGCTGGTTTTACAGTGCTATATCTAACTAGGAATTAAAACTGAGCTGTAAAAGACCCAATTAAATCCAAGAAACTAAGGTGCAAGTATAAGGAGAGAGACAGAACAAATGGAAATCTAGGAAACATACATTTAATTTGTTTTGATATATCATAAACCAAGTAGTTGAACATCCAGGTGGTTCATTTCCTATGTTCTTGAGTATTCATTTGGGGGTGGGGGGGAAGGGTGTGTGTGAGAAAGACAAGTGGCATGAGAGAGAGAAAGAGAATGGTTTTGCTTTTGTTAAGGCACAGGCAATCGGGCAGGACACCACCGCCCTCCGCTGCCTCTCTCCACACAGAGCTGGGCAGCTACACTGGCCATGATTCGCCTGCTGTCTGCCAAGGGCTCACTGAGCCCTCCCGCCTTAGGAAAGTGTCAAAGCGGGCCTGGCAGCTGCAGTGGCTGTGCCCAGCCCCCAAACGCGCTGCATACGTGGCCTTGTAGCACCACCAGCCTGTGAGGGTTGCAGCAGCAACGGAACCCAGACTCCAGAGGAGGAGTGGGGACGTCAGCGCAGGGACAGTGAGAACAACTATGGCCAGCTCATAGACCGCAAATGCCATCATATGGATATCTACAGAAACGCAGCAAGCAGAGGAAAAGAAGGCAGCGCCCCACACCTCCCAGGCAGCTTTAGCCAAGAGAATCCCTTGGACCAGCCCAGGTCACTGCCTCTTGGAGCAGGGCGCCCTGTACTCGGCCAGGGCCAAATACTGCTCTTGGTGCAGCAAGCAGGCACCTCAGGAGGCGAGAGACAAATGAGCACTCCTTAGCTGAATTATTCAGACCGTCTTCACTATTGAATGAAACATTGATGAGACTACTTTGGAAGTGCTTTATCTTGTTAATCCTAAATGCCCCAGAGAAGCAAATGAAATTTTCTGGAGGGGACAGACGGACACAGAGTTGATGGGAAAAGCAAATGAAAGAAACAAGGTGAGAAAGTGTAAGGTGCTTTGCAAGTTAACTAAATTTGCTTTGCCTCAGTAGGATCTAGGAATCTCCATTTTCACAGACCAGACCAGACTTAATAGGGTCATTAAAAAGTCGCATATCAAACCTGCTCCTTGAAATCAAAGCACTGGTGAGAAATTTGAAATTGCATAGTATACATAGTATGTAGACATGAGAGAGAGAGAGAGAAACCAGGCACATACTCTTCTACAACCCAGACAATACAGCTAGGATGGTGCTGGGTGGTGGATATATTGTTAGCTTCCTTTGCCTAGATTAAAAGAGAAAAAAAAAAGACTCTCTTCATGGATTTATTCTGCAACGTATAATAAGTAAACCCTAATAGTTAAACATCATTTCTGAACACACACACACACACACACACACACACACACACACACAAACACACACACCCTTCACAATGAATTCCTTTCCATGCAAGTTCCAAGAAAACTACATTTCGGATCAAAGTCTCCACAAGCATAATTTAAGATTACTAAAGGTTCTGCCGAGCTCATCTATGGCAAGGAAAGGCAAACAACCACACTGGAGGTAGTGAAGGGTCAAAAGGATCTTTAGCTGAAATGCTGGGTGTAAACCAACACCCTTTTGCCCCCCACAATCTGGGGAGATTTGGATACCAAATGGTCCGTGGCAACCACAGCCTGAAGGAAAGAAACACTGAATTTTCATCTCTGGCATCTTCAGGATAGGTTCTACACACGTAGTTCTCAAAAATATAATTTAGGGTGGAGCGTAAGGATATCCCCTTTGCTTCGGCTGTTGATTTAAGTGTTTAGGTATAGATTGATATTCCACTTAGTAGAAATTATATTACAACATCACAGAGCAAGCGCCCTTGGATACCCAACCCTTCCTAATGATTTTCAAAACATTAATAAGTAAAGTAGCCTGCAATGCAGATAAGACACTAGAAACAAGATCTGAAGGAAACTGGGTGAGGCGGGTAGTCGTTTGCGTGTTACCTGGTGCCTCTAGGGGTAAAGACGGTCGTAGGAGGACTTTCTGCCCGCAGGTACAATCCCGGCAAGGTGGCTCCAGGTGGCTTTCACAGTCATACGCGGGTCTCGCTCGTCACTTCGCTGCCCTTTGCCATAGCTCAGCACCCGCATCCTAAGGAGTCAGAGAGGCGGCTCCTACCACTGCCGCCGCTGCCTGTAGGTCGCGCTGGGTGGGGGATCCGCGGCGATCGCCCCTTGAAACCCGCGGATCCGCGCCCGGGGAGCGGGCAGAGGCAGGGCGGCCGCGCACGCACACACGCGCGCACACACACACACACACACACACGCACACTCTCTCACACTCACTCACAGCCGGGCGCGCGCGCACTCGCACTCACACTTGCACACACAAACACACAGTCCCAGAGCCGCACCAGGAAGGAGAGGCTGGGAGGGGACTGACTGGTCCGGCTCGAGATCGGCTTCGATGTCCGCTGGACCGCTTGCTGCATCGACACCGGCCGGGCATAGAGGTTTGATCACGTTTCCTTCAAGTTATCCTCCAACCCAAATCCACGTAATTCAAGAGCTGGTGACATTTTGTTGGGGAGGAGTGAGCCGGGAAAGGGCTGAGGAGGAGTCAGGGATTTTGCTAAGCAGTTTGAAAAGCAGTCCTCATTACCTTGTTTGTACAGCAAACCAGCTCAAAAGACTGAACTTTGGGCTTCAAATGCTGTGGAGGGAAATGTAAATATCCTTCTGGTCAAGACAAAAAGGTCTATGTGAACCAAAGCATGAGGGCTGTAAGACCCTGTGGTGACCTTGCGATGTACCTGGAAACAGGTTAATCCAGGCTCCTTCCAAATCTCTGGGCAAAAGGATCCACAGATCGGGGTCCACAACCATGCAGCTGCTCCCAATCCAGCGGAAATGGGTCTGGACGTCCTCTGTTCTCTCCGAGAACCCAGGCATGAAGAGACAACGGCGAGTTAACACATTTGCTTCTAGGCAGTTGGATAAAAGATAGTCAAATGCATCAGATAGGCGCACGCACATACACCCCAATACACATAGGCACCCATAGACACACACGAGCTAAAGAGCGCCTTACAAAACGCTAAATCGATGCTAAGAAGACTTGAAAAGGTAGAAATCATCCATGATCTTTCCGGAAAGCAGAAGGGCAAATGGGGAGGTTATGGAAGTCTTCCCATGTCTGTCATTCTTCCTCTGTCCTAAGTGTGTCAATATGTGTATTTCCAGAAGATTTCGTTGTTCTGCCCCACCCCCGTCCAGTTGCACTCTGCCCGCCCCACCTCTGCTATAACCGACCATGCAAAATGGATTATATGGGTGGGTTGTGCTCACAGACCAAAGCTCCCCAAAGTCAAGAATCCTAAGGGAGCAGCCAGCTGCGAAGACATTCAGATCCTCGAGGGAAGAAGGAAAACCACGCGCAAACACAAGCACACACGCGCGCGCACACAGTCCACGGTTCTGGTCGCTCTGCACACGCTCGCTTCGCAGCCTCCCTGCGCGTCGCTGCACACAACGCCCCGCCCGCTGTCCGGGAGTCTCGGGCGAATCCGCGATTCAGGCACAAGGTGGGAAGCGGAGGTCCCGGGATGCAGCCGAGGCCAAGGCGGATCCCGGAGCTGTGCTCCCGGCAGTAGCGCTTGAGGGCCACGGTGGCCGCCGGGCCCGGAGGAGTTGCGCGCTGCGCTGCAGCATGGAGAAGGCGGCGGCGGCGGCAGGCGCGCGGCCGCGAGCCCGGCCCTCACCGCAGTGATGGAGGTGGCCGCGCAGCCTAGACCTGGAGAGTCAGGCGAAAGCCGGCGCCAGGGCCGCTACGCCGCGCTCCACCTCCACGCTTCTCGCCGGGCAGGCTCCAGGCTGAATTACCCCGGGTGCGGGGAGATGGCCAGCGAAGTGCAGGCAAATCCCTAAGCAGGGGTGGTGCGGGGGCGTTGCAGGGAGGGGGGAGGGGAGAAGACGGAAAACCTGGAGAAAGAAGGCGTACTTCCAGGGGCGTCCCCAGCCTCTTGCAAAGGGGAACTTGCTGACTGCCCAGTCTCCCTCATTTCCAGGATCAAGACGTGTCACTGGGTCAAGCTGCAGCTATTAAGGACAGTAGGAAAGTAATTAGATTTAACCTGTTAGGAAAATCTGAGACAGAGGACTACTGTCTGCAGCTGGCTTCCCTGGTCCTATAAAGTGGTGGGTGGCGATTTGTTTACTAATCAGATGAGAGAGACAACTGAAAAAAGAAGAGCATTCTTATCCTGAGATCAACCCAGTTGAGTATCCTCAGATAATAAGAATGCTGCAATTAGCCCTATGTTGGTATGTCAAGGACAGAATGCTAGCCCAGTGTTCCTCAGGAGCCAGAGCTGGTTCTGTAGCACGAGGTGAGGCGAGACCCCTGGGGGAGCCGGACAAGACCTTCTGAACTTAGTCACTGTGGAGGCCCCAACTCCATTCCCCGCCCCTCCCCTCCCCCATTCTGATACAGAAAAGCCGTTATAAAGGAAAGGGTTTTTCACGGGAAAAACTTCAATTGAAGACTCTATGTTTCCTTTCTAGGGAGCAGAGAAACCCTATCCCTTCCCTTTGATAGGTTCCCTGGCACGTGGTCTCTGGCGCCAGAGCGCACTTCCCCTGTCTGTTCCTGGCAGGACCCTCCACCAGTCTGAATCTAAATGGAAGGGAACTGCTTCGGGCTGCGAAAGGAAGTTCCCTAACAAGGGTCTCTACAGGGCAGAGTTGGCAAAGGAGCGGGGGTCTCCTTGGATGGGGCACTCAAGTATTCCCATACCAATAGCATTCTCCCGGGCTTTCCCATTGACTTGCGGTGCACACACGCGCACACTCGAGCACACCCACCAAAGCGCGCACACTACATCCACTCCTATACAGAACCCACACAAACCAAGAGGTGGAGTTTTGGAAAACTGCTCGGCGTCCCCTCTCCGCCCCCAGTCTCCCGCTCCGATCTCGGGTTAGGAATCTGCACAGCTCTCCCAGTTGCTTTGTTCTGGAGAAGCCTGGCTGGCGGCAGAACTTCCCGCCGTCCGGCTTCCTTCAAGAAGGGTGTCTTCACTGGGTCTCACATCCAGGACTCGGAGGTCTTCATGGCGGCCAAGGAGGTGTTGGAGTTGGCGAATTGGAACGTCAAACTTGGTAAAGCGAGGGGACTGCATGGCGAGACTCCCACCCAAATCTTGAGCCCACGACTGGAGTCCCGGATAGGCGCCACTAAAATCATCAGCGATTTCCTGTGACTTTCTGTCCCTCGAAGTGGAGAAAAGAGGTTTCCGAGAAATTCACGACGCAAACTTGAGGAGATTATAGATCCTAGACCGGCAAAAAGACTAAGAAGAGTAAGTTTCCATCCAGGCTTCACTTTAAACTTGATAGAGCCTGGGACTTCACTCAAGGGCTGCAGAGTTGCTTCAGCACAGACTTCAGGCAGGTCCAAGCGAGCACTTCCAAGTACTTTAGGATGCGGGGGTGGCTCCGGTTTCCTCCAGGATTGTCCCACTTGCCACTCTTCCCTGCTGAGCTGATGGGAATCGCATAAGTAGGAGATAAAGGTTTGAAGATTCCCTGGGGACTATAGAGAGCTCTAATTGAGAAAGCCAAAGACTTTGCTAGACTGGGGCGAATAACTTTTGCATTTATTTATTTAATCCACCCCCTCCCCTTTCCTTTTTTATGCCCAACTGAGGTGGGAAGGACTATATACTTAGTTGGCTGAAGAATTGGAGAACTGGGAACAGAATAAAATTGAAATTATCATCTTGTGTCAGGAATGTCCAAGCATATGGTGCATTTCCACGAGAAAGATGAAATCATATTTTTTAATATGATGAGTAATAATGCGCAACTTTCTCAGTGTTCTTTAATGTTGCAAGCCATACCAAGCTTAGAGGAAAAACGGAAAAGAGGCGGGGGCGGGGGGGGGTGGGAGAGCCAGAACCACTATTTAGTTTGACCTTTCTGTGAATTCTGCATTCTATCTGAAAGTCCTTTGCAGTTATTTCTCTCCTTTCTCATTTCATGTGATCTTTAGAATATCCTCTCATGTAAAGCCAGGTGCATCTCACAAGTATAGCGATGACATCCCCCCACCCTGACCCCCACACCTTTCTGGTCAAACTGGTGATGTTGGCAGAAAGACCAGGGAAAGAAAGGTATGTTTCAAATGCTTGTCAGATTTAGAGTGGCCAGACTTTTCAGGGAGAGGGCAGGCCAGACCTTGTTCTTTCCTCAAAGATTCCAGATTTGAGAGGTGATTTTTCTTTTCCTCAGAGGAAGGTTTTAAAATAATGGAAAAACTTACACAATTAGAAAATTTGCGAGAGCATTTTCCAGTCTGCCTGTGTAATTATTAGTATTGCCATTCACCAACCTGGTGTTTCTGTTCTTTTAAGAGTCTAAATTCCTTTTAATATGCTGTCACTGACATCTAAATGTAACTAAAAGTTCTTTCCATAAAAATTTGGTTTTACCATTCCTTTGCTCAATGAGCTATCACCATTGACCTTCTTAACTTACCTCAAAATTCAGTTTACCAAATTATTTTTAGATTTTTTTTCTAGGTATCAATGACCATACTGTTGGACTGAATATACAATTATTCATAATTTTGGGTAGTGAAAGTGTTAGGTGTTTTGCTAACTCCACATAATAAATGAATGTATAAATGCTTTATAGTTTAAATGATGCATACAGAAATAATAGGAATTTCTAGTTATTTAAAAATTACCATTAGAATTAGTTTACTCATTTCATAAATTTCCTTATTTCTCTGGATCCAAGCTCTGGAAAGTTGTCACTTGAATTCATTTTGTATTTATACTTTTGAAAGCATATTTTAAATTGGAATTATCTTAGTTTCCAAATATTCTGAGGGAGCTGATACCATGCAATCGTTAGGAAGCTTTGATTTTAACTAACGTTTTCCTTTAATTCAAAATTGAAATCTTATGTGACCTAACCACAGGAAATACAAGTTTCTGAGGTATAAGAAACCTTTCCTTCCCAAACACTAAAGGGAAACAGAATAAATGAAGTCTAAACATTGATGTTTTCTTTAACCACTGTTATGGTTGTACCCTAGTGGTATTGAAATGTAAAAATAGGTCTCCATATCCAGGCAACATAGTTTTGATGCTGCACCTTCTGGAAAGTCTTGGGATCAAGTGTGTGCTGACAATTAGATCTTATTCTTAAAAAGTGACCCAGCTATATTTTGAAAAGAGTTGAAGACTTGATCTATTCTTGTCTTTAAATTTACACAAAAATCCAATCAAATTCATTTACTATTTAACGTTTCTATGTGATACAGAAGGTATTATTTACATTCACTTTAATATTTCTTTCTTGTCCCTTATCATATTGTATAAATTATATTTTCTTTTCTTTCTTCTTGCATACGTGTTGCACCTTTAAACATTTCTGAACTAGTTATGGTAATTATACACTAAGTGAACAAAGATCTTTTTTATGAAAACTGAGACTAACACTAAGGACTCAAGACCTTATTAGATGGAGGGATTTCTGCTACTCTTCTTTTATTTTCTAACTAAAAATATTGTCTAAACCTTAATTATGGTTGTATAGCTAAAATGTTTTTTGAAAATTGGACCCTAGGCAGACCTTTCTGAAGAGAGGGGGATATTTCAGAGATAAACAGTGGTCTATAAGAAGGGTGTTCCTACACAATATTGCAAGTAAGAAGTAAATGCTCTCTTTGGTATCCATTAATATTATTCTCAGCTAATTTACTCAGATCCTTATACTACTTTTATATACATGCTTCATGTTTGTGTTTAATTACTCTAAACCACCCCCCCAATAAAGTTCAAAATTCCACATAGGAATGTCTGACACAGAGAAATACACAACAATATCATAATTTATATTCCTATTCTTTCTGCATCAAAACATCCATTTAGGAAGATTCAATGAATATACTTAAGCTTTTTAAAAGAAAAAAAGTTGTTGGGCTGATTCATACTAAAGTGTGGCAATCCATTC